GTAAACCTTGTCAAAATTCTTCAGATCACTTGGAACCTTTTCAGACTGAGTATACGTATGCCTGCATTTGTGCCACATTTCAATAAGATCACTGCAAATAGTGATCCTTTGTAGACAAACACATGATTTGTTCACGTCCTTTTTCTTGTAATGCCAACAGTACTTCAGCAAATCAAATTGTCCCATGTGATCTGACCATCTTTTTCTTTTATTCATAAAGCGAGGGAAGCACTTTAAGACGACACAAAACATTTTGCGTACCAACATATTATTATGAAGTGTAGCAGTAAGGATTGCCCAATCAGAAGAAAACATCACCCATGCTGCAAAAAGTTCCAGAGAAATAGTTCCACCCAACAAGATGCTCGTTATGCAAATATCAACTCTTGAGAAATGGAATTTCGACTCGTTCATGATGCTGATCAAGAAGGGCAGCAGAACCGAAAAAGAGCAAGCGAAGCTGGTTAGGCGCAAGAAGCATCCTGTCTTAGTGTAAATCAAAGCAGACTTGGTGTAAACAAAGTCAAATATCAACCCCAATTGAGCAGTAACGAAGTTGAAAGGATCTTGCCATTGTTGATAAATATAACCAATAAGAATCTCTGTGGGATTTTCCAGATCTGTCCTGGATTCTTCGGCCTTTTTCCTTTCTACTACAAAATTTTCCTTTACACATGTTTCTATCCTTGTTTTGGCAGTGGGAAGACTATAGGATAGGTAATTATTGACATCTGGTCTCATCAATGAAAAAAAAAAATGGGCTGCAAACACATCTGAGTTTTTGCTTAGTGAAGCTTTAAAGGTAGGTTCAATCGTATTAGAATTGGAGTGTAAATCAACAAAATTAAAGGAAAAGTTTGGTTCTGTTTTTTGTGAATTAATGAGCTTAAGACACAATATCCTCTCTACATATTTAGCAATTCCAGCTATGATGAGAGGGAGAGTCAAAAATGAAAGCCAAGAAGAGGTCCATGACGAAAAAATGATATAAAGAACCAAAACGACTTTGGCAATAAGGATGAGGAGGTGTTTAGGCCAGAGCTTGTTGTCTTCATAGGCGTAAGTTGTGATGGTGTCAGGACCACCAAGATGTAATATGAGTAAGGGAGCCCAAAATGATCTCAAAATGTTGCTGGTGGCAGATCCTGGATGGGAACTGGGAAGCTTGCTCAAAGCAGCAATAGCAACCCAGTCTGCACTTTGGTAGGCAAGCCGTAGAACAATTCTAGTGAAAAAATTATTTTTGTATTTTCTGCAGCTGCCTAGGACGGAGAGAATGATCTGTAAAAAGAGACTCAGAAGAACCATCACCCTAACATTCCATTCATTCCATACTTTCAGCAACAAGGATAGAATTGAACTCACAATAGACGTTGACTTGCCGCTGTTGACAAATAAACGGGAAAATAAATATATTAAATCAATTTATCCTAGCAAAGACACATATTACTTATATGAATATAGTCTATCAACTAGAGCTTGGTCAAGTTGATAATTATTAATTTAAAATTTTTTATTTGGAATCAATGTCAAAGATTTAAATTTTTTTTTTTTTATTAACCTTCCAATATTCGATAATCACAAGTTCTGACTAATTCAGAATCAAGTTGCGTCAAACCCCATAAAGAGAAAAACTCCCCTGATACCTATTTTTTTATTTACAATATTCAAATTCGACATCTTACTTAAAGTGAGCCAAACTTTTTCCACTAAAACCAACATGTCGTTAGTGATTTAAACTTTTATTATGCCAAATAACTAACTCTCTAATGTAAAAAAAAAAAAAAAAAAATTCAATTACACTACCCTAGCTATAACTTTTTGTGAAATAAATATTTTGCAAATTTTTCTTGTTAGATCTAAGCATCTATTCATGGACATGATCGTAAAATTTTAAATGAATTAATTAGCTAACAAATAGCTGGCATTCAAATAAGGAAATAGATAAAAAGTAGGTTCCATGGTGTAGTGGTTAGCACTTTGGACTTTGAATCTAGCGATCTGGGTTCGACTCCCGGTAGGACCTTCATCTCTTTTCCCCTGTTTTTACACTTAGGTTTCACGACCTAACAGTTATAAATCGGGTTGTAAAGTACATCCTAATCCAAGGAGTAGATTTCGAATTTGTCTCCCCAAATGTAAACCCAACCAATGATCTGTTGGTTTGAATGGAATGAACCTGATTCCTCTTAAATAAGGTTTCGAATTTGAGTCTTATAAATGGAGAAACAGACGCTATGAGAACTTTCTCTAATGGGATCTGACACAGTTCAATTCTAGATTAGTCGGGATTCAATGTGGTTAATACCAAAAAAAAAAAAAAAGGAAATATCTTTCATGAAGCATAAATTTGCAATTGACGAAGCTTAAATTTGCAAGTAGAAGGTATAACCCACAAGTTTTC